TTCTAGATTTCAAGGCACTTTTAGAGATACAGTTGGACTCCAGCTGCTTCCTGTGGTTCTGAAGCAAAGAACTGCATTATTAAGCATTGAATGAACTGACTAGCTGCCAGTTTTACCATTTTCAGTCTCACTGACCTACTAATATTCAGTGCATCTGTTGTTAATTCAGTTCTGTCTTTATATGTCATCTTTTATGAGGGTCTGTGGAAAGGCTGGCAGGAGGGAATTCACAGAAATAGGCTCCACCCTCAAAGCAAAGGGTTCTTTCTAAGACCAATTCTACCACAGGCAGGGAGGACAAAGGAGGTTGAGTAGTCTAATGCACCCTGAAATGACTGGACAGCCATTTGTCTAAAATGGTATAGGGCTGTGATGGTGAACACACAGTGCCCTCACTGATGGCACACGAGCTGTCACCCCAGTTCAGCTCTGCTGCGCATTCATTTGCACACACGCCTCCCACCGGCCAGCTGGTCTTCAGGTCTCTGCATATGCATGGGGGGACAGGGGTGTGTGCGTGCATGTGTGCGGGGGCACATGCAGGGGGCATGTGTGCATGCATGGGGTGGGGCATGTGGGGCACCATGCATGCATGCACAGGGTGCACGTGCACAGAGGCACATGCGCATTGCATTTTGGGGTTGCATGCGTGCTTTGGGCATTCGGTCCTGAAAAGGTTAGCCATCACTTGTATAGGGTCTCTTTGCTTGAGTTGATTGAACTAGAAAATCTCCAAGGCTCCTTCCAACTCTCTTTTTCTATTGCTCTATTATTCTGTTATTCTTTTATTATTCTGGATTCTGCTATTTTGTTATTCAGTGTGTCAGATCTATCATCAAACCACTTTAGCCCTGCTTAGCTTCACTTTGATGGCAGCCTGCCACAAAATGGGAGGAGGGGAATGGGAAGATAGGGAGGGGAGATGACAGAAACCAGAGATGCCATCCAGAGACAATGGTCGAATGATCCAAGGACACAAGTCTGGGAATGGAATGTGAAACACCCATCAAAGAGGTGCCAAAATGCGGAACTTCAGTAAAAGTATACCTTTCACCACAAATGGAGTCAAGGGTCTTTTTTACTGTCTAAGGTGTGGCAAGTCTGACATTAAGCCAGATCTGCAGTAATAATCCTTGTTTGCTATGGTGACTGTGCATGGAATGTCTAACCATGAGAATGAGCAGGAGGAGATGGAGTCCTGGGAAGAAGACATTTCAAGCCCCAGGAGCAGTGAGGGTTACCCCAAACTCAAGAAAACTTTGACGTGGGTGTTATGTGAACAACCTCATGGAGTTGTATTTCAGAGCTGTATATGAGTGGAGTGACCTTGTCATGTTCTCTAAAGCTTTTTCAAAGTGTGGGATATCCTGAGGGTCCCTTATGCAATTGAGCTTCATGTGCTTTTCAAGAGGAAAGAAGAGCAGTAACAGACAAAAAAATTAACATAAAGAAAAAAGAGAAATACAGAGCAAAATCAGATACCAAAGTTTAAAGGAATTAATCATTCACAGTAAAAGTCTCCATCCAAAGCACCCAGGAGAAATCAGTCATTCTAACTCCAGGTTATTTCTTAGCAAACAAGGATGCATGATAATAATGGAAATAAATATATCACAAATATATATAAACCAGATTTTTCCTCCTTACTATCTTAATAGATACAGACATACCAGCCAATTCAATTCTAAGCCATGTTTCAAATTTGTCTTCAGATCAAATTTATTTGGGCCACTGCAGGAAGATCAGGAGAAATGGATTCTTCTGGTTAGAGGAAACTACCTGAAGTTGTAAGAATCCTGCAGTTCTGTAGAAGATGATATTTTGGAAGAGAAAAGGGATTTAACTACCAAGGTATTTTTAGTCATTCACATTTCTCCTCTTTTTCTTTTTATAGGGATTGCCAGCCAATTCTGTTTCAGTCAAAATGAAACCAAGGATCAAAGTTAAACTTTTACAAGAAACAAAAGAAAGAGGAAGGTTTGGCGTACCAGATTGGGAATTATACCACCAAGCAGCAATGCTAACCTGGGTAGTTGAATGGATAAATTTAAAAAATAGAAGATTGTTAATGCTAGAGGGCCACGACCTACATCTAGGATGGCATACATTTTTGTGGTATGGAAAACAAGTAGCACATCAATATTTTCAAAGACATTTTATAAGAAAGGCTTTACTGGAGACATGGAATAAATTTACAGTAAATAGCAGAACTACATGAAGGTTCCGATTCGGTTATCTACATTAGAAGCGCTAGTCCATCCAAATTTAATTAATCAGGGAAAATGTGTCACCTATAAGGATATTATAAACGAAGAAGGGGGACTGAAATCGAGGCAAGAATTAAAAGAACAAGGGTAGAATTGGAGTGGTGGTCCTATTTACAAATGCAAACATGTTATTTGAAAGACATGAAACAGTGGGGCATTAATAGGAAATTAATGACAATAGATACGATTTTCTGGGGACAAATGATAAATTGGTAAAGAAAATCTATAAATTCCTATTGGATTATAAAATGGAAGAAGAGCAGGGGAAGGAAACGATGGTGGCATGGGCAATAAATTTTTGATATAATATACAATTGGAAAAATGGCAAGAATTATGGGGGGGAACAGGAAAATAGCATTTATTTATTTATTTGTTTGTTTGTTTGTTTGTTTGTTTGTTTGTTTGTTTATTTATTTATTTATTTATTGGTTCAATTTATATGCCGCCCTTCTCTGGAGACTCAGGGCGGCTTACAATGCATTAAGCAATAGCCTTCATACTTTTGTATATACCTGCTTATTAGGGCTTTTGGCCCCCCCCAAGCGGTGTTCTTTTTATACAAAGTCAGCTTATTGCCCCCACAATCCGGGTCCTCATTTTACCTACCTCGAAAGGATGGAAGGCTGAGTCAACCTAGAGCTTGGTGAGATTTGAACTTGCAGTAATTGCAGACAGCTGGTGCTACTTAACAGCACTTTAGTCTGTTGCGCCACCAATGCCCTTTGGCAATACTGTACAAAGAAAATTTATACAGGATGTTCTATAGGTGGCACTGAAATGTATTGGCTGGATCAAGGACGATGGACAATGTGAAGATCATGTAATTAACCATTTATTAACAACAGCTGGGCTAACTGCCACAGCTATAACTGAAACTGCTTGGAACTCTGCCTGACAGCTCTTATATAGCCAGCTGTCAGGCGGCTTAACCAATCAACGAACAGAACATTACTTCCTACTTCAGCAGACTTAATACATTGCAGGCACCTTCCGCCAGCGAGATTGACAAAAATGTTTAGAACTTTATCACCAAAATGTTAGAAATGCAACCATGAATTGGGCACATACTATCATATATGGTGGTTATGTAAAAGGGCAAAGGAGTATTGACAGAAGATTTATTTATGGTTGGTGGAAATAACTGGAGAAGAAATAGAATATAAACCAGAACTATTCCTATTGGGAATTATAAATGGGAAATACAGTGAAGGGGTAACTTACTTAATAATACATATTATAACAGCAGCAAGGATGAGTTTTGCCCAAAATTGGAAAAATAAGGAAACTCCTCTAGAAGATGAAGTGATTAAAAAAAAATTGATATGTGCGGAAATGAACAAATTAACCTTGGAATTGAAAAATAAAGGCGAGTCAGAATACCATGAGATATGGAATAAATTTTATCAATGGTTGGAACAGAAAATAGGGCCAAACAACAAGAACTGACTAGAATTCATAAAATGGAAAATTAAAGTTATGTATGTAACTACAATAGAATGATAACGGATAAAACAAATGTATACGTAATATAGATAGAAGAAGGATGTCTTTATATATGTAAATACTGAACAGACTAATTGTATATAAGCAATAAGGCAGGGTGAAATGCTCCCGGTTCAGACCGGATTGCCTGATCTGGTAGCGATGGAGGCGGGTGGTTTGGAGAACCGATAGCAAAAATCTCTGCCCCCCCCCATGCCCAGCTGAGCCGCACAATCATCAGAGGCTTTTTTTTTTTACTTTTAAAAGCATTTTTTCTACAAACTCTTCGGCCAAAAAAATGCTTTTAAAAGTTAAAAAAAAAAGCCTCTGATGATCGTGCGGCTCAGTTTGGATCGTCAGAGGCATTTAAAAGAAAAAAACCCTTTTTTTCTTTAAAAGCCTCCGACGATCCAAGCTGAGTTGCCTGATCATCAGAGGCATTTAAAAGAAAAAAAGCCTCTGCCGATCAGGCAACTCAGCTGGGATCGTCAGAGCCTTTTGAAAGCATATTTTTACAACCTCTTCGCCGAAGAGGTTGTAGAAAAAATGGTTTTAAAAGTAAAAAAAAAATTGGCCACGCCCACCCAGTCACATTACCCCCACCAAGCCACGCCCACAGAACCACTAGTAACAAATTTTAGATTTCACCACTGCAATAAGGTATATATGTTGTAAGCCGCCCTGAGTCCTATAGAGATAGGGCGGCATATAAATCTAATTAAAATAAAATAAATAAATAAATATATGATACTTTCATTTTAGTATGTATGGCAAAGAGAATGCCAGGACAGTTACACCATGTCCAATGTTTTAATATGTGTGTAATAAAGCTTTACTTAAAAAAAACAGTGTCTGTATTTGCAAAACATACTAAGCTAATACAAATAAAGAGTAATAGCTGTGATTCTTTTAAAAAAATGCATCCTGCTTTCCCCAGCATATAGTATGCCTGGCTGTTTAAGGGATTGGGATTGTCCAGTAGGTTGGAGGTGCTAGGTAAGGTAAGGACAATCTCTTGTAATAGAGATGCAAGAAAAGTATTTTGAGCTATTCTGCCTGATATTGTTTGCATTCATATAAAGCATTGCAAAGCATTGATATAAACAGGAAGAGGCTCTCAAGGAAAATACTGTGCAAAAAGAAAGGTGGAAGAGAAAAATGTTGTGGTTCATGTGGCAGAAAATACCTTAAATCCGTTTTGATCAACTATTATTTTATCTCACGACTATAGACTCCATTGTGGAAAATAACATCATTTCCGTCTACCACCATGGATATCTTCAGGATAGTGAGTCAAGAGGCAGCCAACATAAGCAACTTCTTCCTTACATGTTGACTACCAGCAGAAAGATGAGTGCCGGGACAAGATTTCTCCTTCAAAATATTTCAAATACTGAATTCAGCACATTTTAAAGTGCTGCGGTATGGCTGTATTAGGGTTTTTTTTATATTTATTTATTTTGTCGAGTACATATTAGATAATATATATAAGTATAAGCATGAATTGAATACATAAAATGAATACAATTAACAGAAACATTAAGACAGGGACAGTAAGCGCACTGGTGCTCTTATGCACGCCCCTTACAGACCTGTTAGGTCACCTCCATGAGTTATTTAGAAAAAATATAAAGATAGAATAAAAAATTTAAACCAGACATAAATTGTTCACAAAGCCCTTACACTATTGATCTGGTCCAAAACAAAACTGAAATATTTTCCTACTCTATTGATATAAAACTAATTCAAAAAAGATTATTTTCATATTTATTGCACATGTCAGTGGATTTTCAGGAAAGTTGGAAATCATTGCAGTGTCGCTTGTTTAAAGGGACTCTGACATGCACTGTATAATTCCTCTATTCTTGTCCTGTTTAGTTTAAGATCCTAATTAATGGGCTTATTGATATGTTACATTATAAAATAAAATCTTAATATGTTTTGGAGAAGGGAAATAAAGTTTAGAGATGTTTAATAAAAAGTATGGCCTCTTCAGATACCTCGTAGTTGAAGCAGCAGCAGGAGACATCTATTGTACCAAGCACTGACTGACTATGCAACTGGTAGAATCCAGCTCTCCTTCTCAGTTTCAGTTCGGCACTCTGGGTGGCTAAGAATCTCCATAGACAGTTTGAGTTATTTTAAAAAAGTAAAGATGGGATGAAAATAAATAGTAATCATCTAGTGAATCTATTTGTGTTGAATTTATAAAAAAGAGAAGAGATTGGAATATTAATTCATTGATTCACTATTCTCAATAGAACTTCACTGGGGTTTTTGTTGTAGCTTGTTTTCATTGTTTTGTTTTGTTTTAGTTTTGGTTTACCAAATTCTCAACAAAATACGTTCTACTTGAATAAAGAGGAACAATAGAGAGCCAGTTTTATCTAGTGATTAAAGCAAAAGGCTAGATACATGGAGGCTGAGATCCCGCCTGAGGCATAAAAGCCGGCTGGGTGAATTTAGATCTCTCTCTCTCTCTCTCTCTCTCTCTCTCTCTCCCTCTCTCTCTCTCTCTCTCTCTCTCTCTCTCTCTCTCTCTCTTCCCCCATCCCTCCCTTCCTCTCCCCCTCCCCCTCCCTCCCGCTCCCACTCCCCCTCTCCCTGAACCTCTGCACATAGTTGCTGTTGTGGAGAGTAAAGGAGGAGGAAAATAACTTCACTACCTTAAGTTATTTTCTAAAAAATAAAGATGGGATAAAAGTAAAAAAAAACAAAACAAATCATCTAGTGAATCTATTTCTACTTAATATGGAGAAAAGAAAGAAGAAATTGCAGCAAAATGTCACAAATGCACTGTTTTTTGAAAGAAGAAAAGAGGAGTGTTAGAAAAGTAAAGAGATGGGAAGAAAGCCAAAGGAAAATCAGGTCCTGTAGTTCAAAGGGGGTTCAACATTTTCACCCAAGGTCTCCATCCAAAACACCAAGGAGAACCAACAATTCTAAGTCTGGGTTATTTCCTAGCAAACAAGGATCCATGGTTATAATGGGAAGAAATATATCACAGCAAGGTCTTCCCTTGGTATAAACCAGAATTTTTTCCTTATTATCTTAATAGATGCAGGCATGACAGCCAATTCAATTCTAAGCCATGTTTCAAATTTGGCTTCAGATCAAATTTATTTAGGCTGCTGCAGAAAATGGATTCCTCTGATTAGAGGAAACTCCCTGAAGTTGTAGGAATCTTGCAATTCTGTAGAAGATGGTGTATTGGAAGAGAACAGGAATCTAAATATCAAATAGATATCAATAGATATCAAAAGTGTTTTTAGTCATCATTCACATTTCTCCTCTTTTTCTTTTTATAGGGATTGCCGGCCAATGCTGTCCTGCTAAAGACTGCTATGCCATTCATTTCCCTGGCTGTTATAAGGAACTGATGTGTCCAATGGGTTGGTGGTGCTGTCCACGGTAAGAACAATTTCTTCTAATAGAGATGCCAGAGAGTTGTTGCTATTTGAGCTATTCTGCCTAATATTGTTTGCATTCATAAAGCATTGCAAAGCATTGATGTGAATAGGAAGAGGGTTTCAAGGAAAATGCTGTGAAAAAAGAAAGGCGGGAGAGAAAAATGTTGTGGTTCATGTGGCAGCAAATACCTTAAATCCACTTTGATCAACTATTATTTTATCTCACAGCTATAGACTCCGTCCTGGAAAATAACACCATCACCATCTACCACCATGGATATCTTCAGAATCTGGCCAATGATCTGACACCATTGCTTGCTTTCTCTTCCTCTTTCTTTACATAAATCAAATTGCTCCCTTCAAACTCTGAAACCTTTATGCATTGAAGTAAAACTTGGCAAATATTTCTTGAAATAAAGCTAAATGAGCATTGCAGATATTGTGCAACTTCTTTAAGAGGCACTGCAGGCAGCATATTCACATCACTATGAGTGTGTGTGTGTGTGTGTGTGTGTGTGTGTGAGAGAGAGAGAGAGAGAGAGAGAGAGAGAGAGAGAGAGAGAGGGAGGGAGGGAGGGAGGGAGGGAGGGAGGGAGGGAGGGAGAGAGAGATATCTATTCCTTGCCACTGAGGCCTTCCAGCTGATGTGGTTCTTGGTTAATAGTACAACCAAACTTAAAACTATAACCTAAGACCCTGCAATGGAACATAAAAGAATCTCTTAAGATTCTTTTTTGTTGATGTTAAATACCACAGGATACTACTTAGAATAAGAATGACTTTGTGTGATGACTCAATATCAGCATAGACTGATATTCATGTCCATGTTCATATTCATACCTGCTATCTTGTACATGTTTGACAAACAAACAAACAAACCAATAAACAAACAAACAAACAAACAAATAAATAAATAAATGCGCTCCGGGGCCTTTAAGAGCAGTGGAAATCGGCCATCACGCCACACGACCCCCAAGGCAGCTCCGCCGAGTGGACCCACTGCCCAAGGAGCATGATCTGGGGACGGCTTCGCCCAGCCCGGCCCGGGCAAGGCCAGAAGGTGTGAATTCCCTAACTCCAGTTCAGCCAGCCGTGGATGGGACGTCAGGCACAGATTGCTGTGAAAGACCAGGAGCAAAGACACACACGCACGCACACAAAACCTACATGCACAGCAGTACTGGTGAGGTTTTTAGTGAGCAGCACAGGAAACCAGACTTGCCTTCACAGGTAGAAAACCTTCCTACAGATGGAAAAACACCAGGAGTATGCGCACGCTTCTTTTTGCACTTGCTCCTGGCATTTTTCCATTTGGAAGACGGAGAGGAGTTATTAGTTAAAAATGCTTTAAAAAGTAAAAAAAAGTTGGTCACGGCCACCCAGTCACATGACCACCACCAAGCCATGCCCACCAAGCCACGCCCACAGAACCAGTGGCAAAAAAAATTAGATTTCACCACTGAGGATAACTTCAGGTCCTCTATTATCTCCTCCCATTCTGTTGGTGTGAGGGGAGGGGAGGAAGGCTTGCTGGCATTTTCCACATGCCTTTGCTTTTGCTGTAACTGCTTGGGAATTAGGGATGGGGATTGTCTTCGGAGACAGTGCCGACTCCCTCCCAGCCGGTTCCAGCCTGGTTCCAAGGCCATTGTGCCCTGAGAGTGAACTGTTATCCGCCTAGCACCTCAGTGTTCTCAAAACAACCTTGCAGCATCACATTTAGTTCCTCCAGTCAAAAAACCATACATCACATTTGTATTTCCTTCACAAACATAGCATAAAGGGATCAAGTCCTATAAAAATCTCACCAATGTACCAGTCAGTTGCCTGTTGCCCCAAAATGAATCCTAATTTGTTTTTGGAGTAAAGAGAGACCTTCTTTCCAGCAGCTTGCAGTGGTGAGTTCCTCCTGGTTCGGCCCGGTTCTCCCAAGCTGGTAGCGGTGACAATATGACATCACCGAACTGGTTCTGCCCCCCCTCCCCACCGCAGGGATCAGAAGAAAGGGGACCCAGAGAAACTAGTCAATAGATTAAATCAAGAAATAAATAAAATATATTGTAATAGGCCTGATCTAGTTCTTGAATCATTGGTAGCTTCTCTCCAGCTTATTCATCTGCAGGAAATGGAACTTGGATGAAACAAAATAGGAAGAGTATTGACAGCTTTCAATTTTGATGTTGTAGATCTGGAGCTTACCATAGAGCACCAAAAAAAACCCAAACCATTAGATAACTGAACAATTTCTCATTTGAGGGACAAGCACAGACTCAAATTATTCTATTGGACACATTACATAAAGCCCTAGCTCTTTGGAGACGGGTATAATGCTGGGACATGGTGGCTCAGTGGCTAAGACGCTGAGCTTGTCGATCGAAAGTTCAGCAGTTCAGCGATTCAAATCCCTAGTGCCGCATAACAGAGTGAGCTCCTGTTACTTGTCCCAGCTTCTGCCAAGCTAGCAGTTTGAAAGCACATAAAAAATGCAAGTAGAAAAATAGGGACCACTTTTGATGGGAAGATAACAGCATTCCGTGCGCCCTTGGCATTTAGTCATGCCGGCCACATGACCACAGAGATGTCTTCGGACAGTGCTGGCTCTTCGGGTTTGAAACGGAGATGAGCACTGCCCCCTGGTGTCGGGAATGACTAGCACATATGTGCGAGGGGAACCTTTACCTTTACCTATAATGCTGGGAAAGATAGAAGAAAAGAAAGGAAGAGGACATCCAGCTACCATATAAATGGATTCAGTTGCATTACTGATGATGCACCATTGGTAGAACCAAAAAATTAAATCATGGAGAAAATCTATTCATGTGGGTGCTAACCGTCAACACTGACTTTTTTTTTATTTAAACTTCTATACCGCTTCATAGTGCTTTACAGCCCTCTCTAAGCGGTTTACAAAGTTAGCATATAGCATATTGCATTAGCATATTGCCCCAACAATCTGGGTCCTCATTTTACCCACCTCGGAAGGATGGAAGGCTAAGTCAACCTTGAGCCGGTAAGATTCGATCTGCTGATCTGCTGAACTAGCAGTCAACTAAAGTAGCTGCAGTACTGCACTCTAACCACTGCGCCACCTCGGCTCTTGATGAAACTTGATGAAACATAATCAGTCAGGATGACCAGTGTATGATGGTACTGCCTGCATCCAAACTTATAGTGTAAATATGCCAGAAGAGTTAGAATAAACAGGCTTTTCACTCTGGAAGGAGAAAGAGAGTAGCTAGGAAGACATTCCTCTTTCAGCTATGTTCTTTCCACAAACAGTTATTCCATGTTGCTCAAGGACTGTCAACAGTCTCAGCTTAATGCAATATTAACCGTAGAAATAGCTGTTGCAATCTGCATTCTTGAGATCCTGCAACTTTGGTTGTTAGAGGATTTCATAGAACTTCTCTGTGGTGACCTAACATTGTTGCTATAGCAAGTGAGACAACTTTTTTCTCTGTTCTTCTTACAACCCTTTCCTTTTGCAAATTAGAAGCCAGGATATTTCTGAATTTGTCTACAACAGAATGAGAATTATACAAGGAAAGGAAAAATGAATCAATTATATCTTTAGCAATGATCCCCTTAGGCAGAAAACAATAATATTTCAGAAAACTGCAGATAAAGTTTCATATAATTCCTTACTTAGATTACTTCATGATTACTTTCATTTCAGAAAGTAAGTAGGAGACAAATTATAAAAAGAAAAAAGAAAAATACAGTGGGGTATATTTATTTCAGTTCAAATTTTTGAAAGAAATACTGGTAGTGTTTTATGTTTTATTGAATATGTTTTACAGTTTTTAAGATGATTTTATTGGGAGCATCCTAGAGTTGTCTGAGACGTGAGTGGCTATATAAATGCTTTAAATAAATATTTTTCTTTGTAGGACCCCAGTTGTTAGTGAGTAGCCTAGGATCACCCCTTTTTTCATCCCAATATTTCTATTCTCTAAACTTTCTTAGCCATTTGGAAGTAAATGTCAGGCTTGGAGGGAGCAGAGAAAGACCCATCAATTGGATGAGTAGATAGATTCAAGTGCCAATATACAATGAGTTTATTAGAGTTGTTGCATCAGAGTGTGATCATTAGGGCTGAGCAATGCTTTTAATTGCATTCCAAAGAAAGGCTTTAGGACTGCAAGACCAGCACCTCTCAGTGAGTTACCCTAACCGTAACCCATCTTAGAAAAACACATAGCTCTCATTCAAATTGCTACAAAGTAATGTGTCACACTCTCAACCCAAGAACTAAACCCAAAGCATCTCCATAGAAACTGCAGAGGTCTATTGCAATTTCAACATGATGGTGGGCCAGAAAGGCTTGGGGCCTCTATACATTTTGCATCCTGATCAGGCTTCATACACACATAGCATAACATAAGCTCTCCATATACTTGGCACCTATTGGCTAACTATGCAAAATAGTCATGGAGTTGACATGGCTAAATGAGTACCTTTATTGCAGAAAAGAACAATGCCACTATAGTATGTTATAAATCTCAGGAACATTTGAAAAATAGTCTATTGGTTTTCTTTTCTGCCATAAAACTTTTAGACAGAGAGAGAGGGGGGAGGGAGGGAGGGAGAGGGGGGAGAGAGGGGGGGAGAGGAGGGAGAGAGAGAGAAACCATAAAGGTTTCTGTTGACTTAACAGTTCTCTCTAGTGCACAAACCTTTGGTGACTCCCTCACCATCTTTATTCATCTGCAGGAAATCAGATTCGGATGAAGCAAGATAGGAAGAGTATTGACAGCTTTCACTTTTGCTGTTGTAGAGCTTGAAGTTTATCATGGAAAGCCACAAAACAAATCATTGAATAATGAGAACAATTTCTCATTTAAGGGACAAATGCACAGACTCAAATTATCCTACTTAGAAACATTATCTGCAGCCTAGCTCTCTGAAGAAAGCTCTAATGCTGAGAAGGGTAGAAAGAATGAGATGAAGAGGACAACCAATTGCAGCATAGATGGATTCAAGTACAGTAGTGATGATGCACTATTCGAAGAACTCAAGGATCAAGTTAGGCACAAATTGTCATGGAGAAAATTTATCTATGCAGGTGCTAAGAGTCGACACCAACTTTATGACACATAATTAATCAATCAGGATGATCAGTGTATGATTGGATGGCACTTCCTTCAGCCAAGAAATGTGGTGCAAATATGTCAAAAAAAGACAGAATACAGAGCCCCTTCATACTGGAAGGAGAAAGAAAAGAAGCCACAAAGAAGTTTCACATTCATCATTCAGCTATGTTCTTTCCACAAACAGTTATTCAAGATTACTAAAGGACCATCAACGGTTTCATCTTAATGCAAGATTAAATGTAGAAATGGCTATTGCAAACTGTCTTCTTGAGATACTGCAATTTTGTGTGCTATAGAGGTTTACAGAATTGCTCTATGGTTACATAACTTTGTTGCTACAGCAA